GGTAACACAAATGGACCGGTAATGTAAACGACTTTGATTTTCAAGAGAGCTGCTTTCCGAATCAACATGAGTCAATAAACTGCCTTCTTGTCTGCACTTTATCGAGTGAATTATGCTAAAACAAAAGAGAATGCCAGTCTCAGTATTTCAAGTAGGCTGCTCACCATAAGCAAGACACACACACACACACACACACACACATATATATATGTTCCGCGCAATTTACCGATCTGTGTAATCTTAAGATTGCGCTGTGCCTTTTAACGATTGTATATTTGCGTGGAAATCAGAAGATGGCGTTAACATTTCATATTTTTTAAATGAAAAAAAACAAAAACACTTCCATCTTTATTTTCTTACTCACATCAAGGTACGTTCACATACATTTTCAAAAGTGTAAAATATGAAAATTAAAATTAACATATAAAACTGAAGAGCTCACAAGAATGATACAATGCCAGGTATCAAACTCAAAGTTCACAAAGGACATTTAATTTATTTTATATTTTTGAAACAATTTTAACAGAAGCGTCCTTATTCTCTCCTGCATGCGTAGTAGTACTATTGTGTCCCTTGAGCTGATCGTTAAAACGCACAGCGCAAGCGTAGTAGATCGGTAAATTGCGCGGAACATATATATATTTATATATAATAATATAATTATATATATCATGTGCTGTCATTGTAACAATTGTTTGCTGAAATTCATAAAAGATGAAAAGTGAAGTAGGCTTCCTATGGGTTGGTTTTATAAATGATTGAATAAAATCGACTTGATTCACAAGGTGAGCTGACAAAATGAGTTACTTCTTAGATTTTAGCCCAGTGGCTATAGACTTGATTCATCAAAATCATAGGCTGACTTTTTACCATTTTTTAAATTATTTTTTTTAGTATGTTTCAGACGGCTAACAGTTCTGCAGCCCTCCCATCTGCAAAGGATCATATGAGTGCATGATTTTTATTAGTATGAAATGATATATATATATATATATATATATATATATATATATATATATATATATATATGTGGCACACCGGGGTGGAATCAGGCGCTCGTAAATTTTGTGGCGTGTAGAGTTATTGGTACTGCCTTAAAGCTTGTACATTTGCCTCGCTTTCGATTAATGAAACACCCATTTATCTTAAACACAAGTCGAGATATTTTTGGGATTGAAAGAGGTGGGGGTCGCTTGGTTTCAGAGGTAAAATTAGCGAAAAAATAGCCGCCAAAATTTGGTTATTTAGATAGCATGAAAGTCCGTGGAAACTGACAATTTATATTTTTTGTGCCTTTAATCAACATTTTTCAGCAAAACCCACACAGAAATGGGTTTTTAAATGGACATTAAAGGTGTTGAGCCAAAAAACAAACATTCTATAAAAATTGCTAGACTGGCGGAAAAATGTAAATTTCTTTAATAATGTCATTATGTTGACGAGTGCTTGATTTCACCACGCTCCCTCACATGTTATTTATTAGACATGTTAAACACGAATAAACAGCATCACTTGATGAAATTCTACAAATTTGACATCAGGTGTCGATTTTTGGCCGATATCTCCATTCATGCATTGGGAAAAATTATAACTCGTTTTTGTCAGCACACTTCACATTTTTAATCCAACAGTCTTCATTCTACTGCAGGTATAAATATATATAACGCAATACGTACAACATAACGATTGTGTGCGTTCCATTCCCCAACATTTACACATAGAGCAAATCTTCTCACATTGATAAAATATAATACATTTATCCCTGCATGCTTACATTTAGTTATAGTAAGAGTTTTACGGCACTTGCAACACAATAAGGTCATATAAGTGGTGAAGATTAGAGGTGTTACAAGAGAGTAACAAACACAAAAAAGAAGGAGGGGAGATAGATGTATGATAGGAAAGAAGAAGCAAACCATACCAGAACACCCGCCAACCAACCACAAGCTTACATTTGAAAATATAGAGGCACACATGGCGGGGAATGTAGCAAAAACAAAACAAGAACAGCAATGGCCGCTATGAATTTGTACAGAGTCGTTTAAAGCACAACTAAACTATCTAGGAATTCAGACCAAGCAGGAATGTCTAGCTAACATTTCAGTGGGTTCCTTCAGACATTTGAGATTCACACGTAACAAGTAACACTTGCTAAGAAAATACACGTACATACATTGCCTCTTGGAGACTAGATGCTATCACCATCCCAGGGTATCTAAAAACAGGTCTACACTAGAAATATAAGCGTAACTAGTTTTAGTAGTTTTTTATGGGGCTTGCAACTGCATAAGGTCATATGAGCGCCGAGGGGGTGGATATCAACAGAGAAGTCCTTACAGGGAATTAGGCTTACTCTGCCCACCTCTCTAGCTTCAACAGCACAAAGTCTGCTTCGACTATCAAGGCACCCCGGAAATAGCGGATCACAAGAGTGTGACAAATATACAAAAGAAGTAGAGGACAAAATGACGACAGTAAGGATTAGGAAAGAAAAAGCAGCAGGTCCCTGTTGCAGTTCAAGCACAGTTATGAGCGTGACATTGATGAATTAGCCCATTTACAATTACAATTCTACTGTGCATAAGAACAGGTTAATATCCCCCAGTTGGGAATGGCCTAAAGACACTTCAGTCAGTGGCACCGCCTCGGGGGGCAGCGACTTCAGAGCTTTCTTGTCTTATCTCCATTTCTTTAAGCACTGAAATGTGACATCTTCATAAGCTCACTCTTTGATATGAACTGTTTTCACTGTTATTCAAAACGGAGACACGACAAGAAAGCACTAGGGTCGCCAACTGCTTAAGTGTTCATAATCTTCAAATTCATTGTTAAGTCTGAATTACTATACTGACGCTGTGATCCAAATCTTAACTCTTTAAGCCCTGAGTTTTTTCTACTGTTTTTTTTTCTACAGTCACCTAAACCTGGTGCACTATTTCTCATTATAACCCCAGAAGTTTGCCTCTAACTTCTAAATGGCGGAAACAAAGGCTTAGTCATTACTAAAAAAAACTTGGTTCGCGAATAGTTCCGAAAAACAAGCAAAAACTAGCACTAAATGAAACGAAACAGTTGTCACTAGTACTGGATACTCTCAGAGTCCGATGGGGTTCAAAGAGTTAAAACAACATACAGCCTATTGTAAGCTATACAAGAAAATCAACGACAACATTGTTCCGGGCAATATTGCTGGGAGAATCACACTCTTGAATTCATGAAGCAACACAGTGAAAATAAGCCAATAAGTATAAAGAATAAAGGTAAGTCGTCTTGTAAACTTGAACGTAATTGGTCACTTTTAAGCACGAGGGGGCTATCCCAAAAAATGCTATTTTGAGAAAATCGAAGGTAAACTTTTTGCCCCTTGTTCAGTTTCTTTGAAAGTCAAGGAGAGTTTTCTCTATAACCAAACAAATATATACACACCAATGAAACCAAACCTCTCCTATAGGTAGGACAATGTCCACTTTTGGTGTAGGTCAAGATTTCTGGAAACACCCGAAATCGGGGTTAGCCCGCTTGTTCTTAAAAGCGACCAATTTTTGTTTCTAATATCTGCAAAATTTCCAGGCAAAGCAAGGACATGAATCAGTAGCGTAACTCAAATTTAAAAAAGTTTTTACAAGAGAGCCGTTTTCTAAAGCACACATTTTCTCAAAACACAGAATGGCTGGTGAGGCCACCTTAGTTGACAATACGGTTCAACAAGATAGGGTCGAGATCCTGAAATGTCTCTCTCGCCAGCCGATTGAGGAGGAAGATAGGAAGGCAGAGCCAGTACTGCCGAGGAGAGGATGATGCTTCTGGGAATACAAAAAGGAAGTGGAAAATCTGGCATCCTTGCAGGAAAGAACAGAAGAACGTTCAACCAGATGTGCACGGGCACAATCAGTGGAAGGACCCTCGGCAACATTTTGGAGAGAGCAACGGAGCATCAATGGACATGTCCGGAGTGCAGGGATGTTGCTTCCTGAAACAATGGACAATGAACAAGTTTCTCATAACACAGGTGTTGACTGCTTGCTAAAGAACAAGCATTGAACAACTCTTTTTTGTCAACACGATACAGAGCTCTGAGACAAAAAGGCATGGAAAAACAAGAGATTCTGGACTTTGGGAAAGTTCGAAAGGTTTATCAACAATATGTGGGAGGCATTGCGGTGGAATCAGGCGCTCATCAAGATAACAAACTCGAAGAAACAGGCATTTTTCTGACAGTACGGCAATTTTTATCAAATTTTTGTTTTTTTGGCTCAAACCCTTTTGTGCCCATACAAAAACATATTTACATGGGAATTTTACTGAAAAACCTTGATTAAAGGCACAAAATATGTCATTTTTCTGTTTTCAAGGACTCTTTAGCTATTGGAGTTACCAAACTTGGGCAGTCATTTTCTGGGTAAGTTCACCACTGAAACCAGGCCACCTCACCTCCTTCAATAGCAAATATCTTACCTTCTATTCAAGACAAATACGCATATTTTTAATTGATAGCAAAACAAATAAATACGCTTTCAGATGATACCAATAACTCCACATGCCCAAAAATTAACGAGCGCCCGATTCCATCACGTCATGAAAATATTGGTATGAACATAGCTTTTTCACAACCACAGATGACAAGAAAGTCCCACATCACCCTGTTATATTGCTCAGGTCTACAAAAACTGCACCGCAGCTGTTTTGAAAACTTTCATCATGCAATTGCCAAAAAACCCATTCAACTTGTTATAGAATTATTATTTGAATTGACAAAACTGAATGAAAGAAGGAGTAGGGGGAACGACATTCATAATCCACAAGCTACGACAAAGCAGACCCTGTTACTAACTATATCAAGTGTAAAAAACAACAAAAGCTTTAAGAGAAACAGCAGCCAGCCATTATCAACAAAATGGCATCAGACCTGCCATCCACTCCATGACTAGTGGATTTTCCCTCAAAATCTGCCGGAAAAATAAAAGAGTCTGGGCAAATAAATCTCTCTCTCTTTCTCTCTCTTTCTTTCTCTTTCTCTCTCTCTCTTTCTCTCTCTCTCTCTCTCTTTTTCTCTCTCTCTTTCTTCCGGCGCTGTGGCATCATAAACGGTCAGCGATGCCGACAGTTCGCAGGAACTCAACAGGCTAAATAAATCGGGAGTCTCCATGACTCCAGTACAGCAAGATTATGTAATAACACTACAACAACAAATAAAGACGTATTGCTAAGTCATCAAATTTAATAAGCAAAATAAAAATTCTATCTTCATGTTATTATTGCTTGGTCCTGCAAATATTGCAAACAGAAATTAATATTTTCACATCACTTACGAAACATCACATATGACCTCATGGAAATAGAATTGAAGAAAAAAAAAAGATTTTATGCATATCCTATTGCAGTTCTGCGACAGGCAAAAAAATAGGAGAGAGCTCTGATTTTATGGTAGTACTTGGCAGATAAAAAATGGAAGAAGATTTATTTAATTAAAAGAAAAAAAAAAACCAAGAAGAGAAAGGCTGCACCACTCATAATATAAGCGATACAGGAATGACAGATACAGGCAGCAGGGTACAGTGAAAAAACTACAGCCCATGTATAAGTTACTCTTTCTTTAAGTAACCCGTCGGAGCCCAGCCTTCGTCGTCGTAGAAACGCACCAAACTCCAGTCGTCCTGCTCATCCAAAATCTCCAACTCATCGCCTTCACAAAAACTAATCTCTCCCGAGTTCTCGGCGGTAAAGTCGTACACAGCCACGCAAACCTGGCCTTGAGATGAGGGTTTCGGAGCACTGGGAGGAGCAGACGACGGCAGCTTCTCAGCAACCTCTGGCTTTGGTTTCAACTTCGGGTTGTTTTGGTTGACATCAGAAGCGGGGCTTTGGCCAAAGTTGAGTTTGCTGCTGAGACTATTGGCCAAATTGTTCACTTGCGCTTGACCACTTGGCTTATTCCACTGACCGTTCGGTTTACTTGACTGACCACTTGGTTTACTAGCTATTGAAGGTTTTACTGCAACTCCTGGTTTTGGCTTAACAGCTGGCTGGGGCTTGCCTGCCGGGGAGGGTTTTGGGTTCGCCGGCTTGTTGAATAATCCTGTCATCGCTTTAACATTTGGCTTCTCTTTTGACACACCCTGATTTTTGTCCTGATTGGAAGTGCCGTTACCGCTTTGCTCTGGTTTACCGAGCTCTGGTTTACCGACTGGTTTCAGGGGAACCAGTGGCACACTGGGCTTGTCAACAGTTGCGGACGAGTTGCTCGCTGCTGCACTTGTTGGCTTTGATTTCGCCGGCGGAGGCGGTTTGGAAAACCCTTTATTACTACCAATGTTTGGTCTTGAGGACTGTGGACTGCTTTCTCTTGGACTCTTCCGGAGATCTGAAGGTTTGCTGGGCAAGGCAGGAGGGAACACTTTTCCAGCAGAAGGTGTGGGCTTCGTCGTGGGCACAGAAGGGGAACTTTTCTTGTTTTCCTCCAGCTCTTCATCTGAACTGGCGGCGGCGCGGGCTCGGGCCTCAAACTTGGACTTGAGCACAGACGCCAGGTCCCCACCACCACTACCTCCCCCACCGGGTTTGGCTTGACTGGCGGGGTCTGGAAGCTGAGGCTTGGGCTTGCCTGAGGTCGCCTTCGCCACCGTGTTGTATGGCGCCTTTGGCACATTCGGTTTGACCGCTGGCAGGCTTGGTTTGACCGTTGGTACGCTTGGAGGGAGGGCCGGGGTATCTGCCTTAGACTCACTCTCCACCGGGGGAGCTGGTGGGGGCGGCAAAGGCCTCGCCGCAAATCTTTTGGGCTGAGCTGCCGGCTTATTTTCTTCCTCTTGGTCTTCTTCTGGAGGGATAGGGGGTAAAGGTCGTTTGCCTCTCAAGTCTGGCGACGTTGTTGGGATGACAATCGGTCCCGCCTGCGACTCTCTTCCTAGATCACTGTCAGGTGTGACGTACCAGTCTTCGTCAGCGTCGTAGTCCTTGTCACTGTCGTCGCTGTCGTCACTCTGCTCTGCTGGGTCGCCGTGCTCGTCAGAGGAGGCCAGCTCATAGACGGAGCTTGATCTCTGGGGAAAAATAGAGCTTGTTAGAATCTAGTAAAGATAATTATTCATGATTAACATTCAGCCAAAATATTAATATCCTATAGAAAGGTGCAAACTGTCCCACTATCAAATGTAATTTCCTTACGAAGTATTACTTTGATGATCACAAATAAAATTACTTATATTCTAATTAAGATAATATTTTGTGATTAATATACAGCCATAAAATCTATGGAAAGGTGCAAATTGTCCTGCTACGAAATGTTATTTCCTTATGAAGAATTACTTTGATGGTAACAGAAATAGAATTTCTTATATTCTAATTAAGATCATCTTTTGCGATTAATATCTTCATCAATATCTTGCAGTGCCAGATCTGCGACAGACATCGGAGATCATGGTTCTCCATTCCTTTCTTTGCTCGGATGCTCTTAAAAAAGCTACGTCACCCTGATCTTTCCCTGTTACCCATCTGTTTAGGTTCTCGGAGTAGGTTGCTCTGGGCCTACCCCTGCCTCGTTTGCTTTCAATTTTTGCCAGCGAGAGCTACATGTTCCAGACCCTTATGTCTATTCAGGTGTCCTAAAAACTGCATTAAACTTTTTTTCACACACATAGGGTAGCTTTTGATTAGGCAAATAAAAAATTTGGGCGCCAAGATAAAAAAAAGTCATTTTGTCAGTGTACGGCAGTAGCCTACAGGTCCGTCCCCAGGGTTTTATGCACCCCGCATAAAATTAGCAAAATTTGATCATTTTTAGCATAATTTCTGATTATTTTCCTGTATCATTCTTTGATAAAATTAACAGAATCACATAATTTCACATTTTGGGGCTCTGTTTGCAGAATTTAAGAATTTTTGTGTGCATAAAACCGCGGGGACAGACAGGCACAACACAACAGCTCACCAGATCGTCCGTGCACGACTCCAGATAGGAGGAAGGAACCCAGCCCTCCTCCTGGCCGAGGGCAACAAACCACCAGCCCGACGTCGTCTTCTCCTTCACCTGGAAGAGGACAAGAATAAAATGACCACCCAATATTGGTGGGGGGAGGGGAGAGACAAAGGAAGAGGAAAATACGAGTTTTAGTTCTAGTTTTAGTAGAGGTTTTCCGGCGCTCGCGACTGCATACGGTCATATGAGCGCCAAGAGGTGTGTGTCAACACAGTAGAAGAACTACCAGAATAGGTTAACTTGTTTTCATTTTAAGACCAATTTAGAGACGATTTTGTCATTTTTAGGTTTCGTACCCAAAATGGGTGGCAGCGTAGTGGGTTGACCCCGCCACGGAGATAAAGAGTTCACTGACTCAGCATAACACGACAACAGCTGACTCAGCATAACATGACAACAGCTGACTCAGCATAACATGACAACAGCTGACTCAGCACAGCTGACTTAGCATAACACGACAACAGCTGACTCAGCACAACACGACAACAGCTGACTTTGCATAACACGACAACAGCTGACTCAGCACAACACGACAACAGCTGACTCAGCACAACACGACAACAGCTGACTCAGCACAACACGACAACAGCTGACTTAGCACAACACGACAACAGCTGACTTAGCACAACACGACAACAGCTGACTTAGCACAACACGACAACAGCTGACTTAGCACAACACGACAACAGCTGACTCAGCACAACACGACAACAGCTGACTCAGCACAACACGACAACAGCTGACTCAGCACAACACGACAACAGCTGACTCAGCACAACACGACAACAGCTGACTCAGCACAACACGACAACAGCTGACTCAGCATACCACGACAACAGCTGACTCAGCACAACACGACAACAGCTGACTCAGCACAACACGACAACAGCTGACTCAGCACAACACGACAACAGCTGACTCAGCACAACACGACAACAGCTGACTCAGCATAACACGACAACAGCTGACTCAGCACAACACGACAACAGCTGACTCAGCACAACACGACAACAGCTGACTCAGCACAACACGACAACAGCTGACTCAGCATAACACGACAACAGCTGACTCAGCATAACACGACAACAGCTGACTCAGCACAACACGACAACAGCTGACTCAGCACAACACGACAACAGCTGACTCAGCACAACACGACAACCAGGACAACAGAGTAAACAACACAAATATTTCACAGAAAGGAAAGAAAAACCAATCAGATCAGAGCAGCAACTGGCCATTCTTCGATGTGTGCATCATTCCACTATAGGCAAAATCAATTTCTGGAGGTTTCCAGACAAAGCTGCTATTTGAATAAAGACATCAGGGGACATCTTACAATATGGAATTGTTCAGTTTCGTCAATTCTTTCGTAGTTTGAAATTGAAAAAATAATGAGAGCACAAATCATGCTTCTGATTTGTGTGCTCTCATTTCCTTTAATCTTTTCAAAACTTCAAAAAGTGACTTAGGCCCTAGTGAAATGATGCTGATGATATGGTCGGTTTTAAGCATAGGTGGGGGGGGGGGCCTATCCCGAAAAATGCTGTTTTGAGAAAATCGAAGGTGAAGTTTTTTCCCCTTGCTCAGTTTCTTTAAAAGACGAGGAGAGTTTTTTCTATAATCAAACAAATATACACACCAATGAAACCAAACTTCTCCTATAGGTAGGGCAATGCCCATTTTTGGTGCAGGTCAAGATTTCTGGAAACCCCCGAAATCTGGGTGAGCCCGCTTGTCCATAAAAGCGACCATATATTTTACCACTCTCACAAACACCAACAGCTTTGGTAAGTTCATAGACCATTGTAATCAACTATTTCAAATACTTGTGGAAAAAAAATTGAATATTGTTATAACACAATTTATCATGTCCAACTGTACAGAATAACTATTGTCAAGAAAGAGTTTCACAACCAAAATCCAACACTTACATAAACTTTTTCGCCCTGTTTAAAGCTCAAGCCGTCTCCAACTGTGTCCTCAAAGGCCTCAATAGTGACGTAAATATTTGACTTGCTCTGTGAGGTGGGGCTGGCGATTTTCTGTGTAAAGAGACAAGAAATAACAACTGTAGATAACACTTTAACCCTGTCCGTACGCCCCGGGGTAATTTTGTACCCCCAGGGTTGTATTCTTCACATTTTAAAATATATCTAGAATGAAGATCTCTTTGAACCTTTCAGTATTTCTTAAAAAATTCATATTGACAGACTGCTATGCAGAGCATACGGATCGGATTAACGAATGAATTTCCTCTTTGGAAAGTGGTGGCACAGAGTTCCCCACGTCATAGGTATATGATAGTAAAATACAATGTACGGATAGGGGTAAGAATTATGAAATGAAGTGTAGAGTTGAAAACAGCACAGAATTTGGTCTCAGCAGTGCACAGCAGAGTTGTGCTCATTCGACTTTCTATTCAACATTCATGATTTTTGCATTATTCACAGCTATTCCAAGCATGGCAGAGCCATTCGTATACCATGTGATTTAAACCCCCATCCCCAAAACATAATGGATTTTCATCTAATTTTTCTCAAACGTAGTAAAATCGGAGCACATCATATGTAAAATTATTGAGATAAATTAATACAGAAATACTCTTTTTTAGTTAGTTTTAGTAGAGTTTTACTGCGCTCGCAACAGCATAAGGTCATGTGCAGTTGTGAGTGCTGTAAAAACCTTACTAAAACTAAATCTAGCGGCGAGCAAGCTGGTGATCGTCTGTCTATCCTCCATTTTGTCGACTGGACTTTGTTGGGTGTTGTATTTGTTCCATATATTATGTAATAATAATATATGTTATTGAATGTGCAAATTAATTCCCTTTTTCGAGCTGGTGTGGGGCTTGATTTGCTGGGTAGTAGATTTTTTTTCCAGGTAGTTAATTTTTTCAGGAAATATTGCTGGACACCCTGAGTTATGCAATAGGTATAAAAATAGGATTGATAAAACTTACGGTGATTGAGTTCTGTCTCGGGGGCGGGTTGAGGCTGCCACCCCTCTCTAGGGACCTCTGTTTGACGACGGCTGAGGCCACAGGCTTTTTGACAACATCAGATGATGCTTGGTTGTTTGAGGGGGACTGTGAGTTTGATGCCTGTGGAAAGTGACAATAAATTTTTAATAGTCTAGTACGCACATATGGTGAAATCGGTGGGGCGCGGAAATCTTTTCATAATGCAGGAATTTGGCTGTGAGTGAGTTTTTATTCTTTTTAGTTTTAGTAAGTGTTTTACCGCACTTGCAACACAAAAAGGTCATATACGTGTTGAAGATTAGATGATTTAAAGAGAGTAACAAACACAAAAAAGAAGGAGAGATAAAGACGATAGATGTTTGATAGGAAAGAAGAAGCAAACCACACTTGAGCACCCGTCAACCACCCACTAGTATGGGTTTTAATTCAAAGAGGAAAGAATATACAAGAAAAATCACAAAACACCAATTGGCCAAGGACTGCTTATGTGCATCTTACAGCCAAAAGAAGTTTGTGGTAGTACTTTTGTTGGGTATGTTTTCAGGCATTTTTCTCAGTTCAACTAAACAAGCATGTAACATGTTTTGAAATGAAACTCTTTGATAGTAACTACACCTATTACAGTAGTCATTTGAATACATATACAAGTCCTAACACCATTAAGAAAAATCACATCAAGTAAAATTTTGTAGGTGAAGGGCTTGGATGGGCTGCGGTCTATGGTTTTAGATACACCGTATGTAGTTGCAGCGGATGACACTCCAAAAAATCAGAATTGAGAACCTATAGGCCTACTCCTGGCCAAACCAATCTTTTTCAGAGAGACACATGGGGAGGAGACTTTTCCTGTGCCTCTCTAAAAAGCGCTGGTCCAGTCAGGAGTATAGGTTCTCAATTTTAATTTTCTGTCACATGTCTCTTATGTACCGGCGATGCCAGAGTCTTAATTAATGTATAATGTAGGTGTTTTTACCCCCATATCAACACAATATACATCATTTGGGAGGCAGGCTCTGCCAGTCACAATTGACTGCGCTGTGGATGAATATAATGATGTCCCAACAGAAAGACTAAAATTTTCAATAAAAATTCTCCCTACAAAACGAACTGTGGTCTTCTGAGTGTGATGAAAAAGCACCTATTCAATACACCACAGATGCTTGCTGACAGGGCCTGATCCTATGAAAAAACATAAATTATCCTGGAGTCTAAAACTGTGGGCAACTGCTCATTGACTTGCCTACAGTGGTGAAAATAGTCAAGAAAATATGGAGACTATCCACACTTATCCTCTATTACTTGAAATATCCTACAGGAGGAGGAGGAGGAGGAGGAGGAGGAGGAGGAGGAGGAGGAGGAGGAGATGAAAGAAAAAGAAGAAGAAGAAAGAGAATAATAATAATAATAATAATAATGATAATGATAATAATAATAATAATAATAATAATAATAACAATAATAATAAGAAAAACAACAACAGCTAGAGTAAGAACAAGAAAAGAACAAGAAGAAGAAAACGTAAAGAAGAAACTGCTCACTTTGGTTTCCTCTTTGTTCAGAAGATTGCTCACATCCTGTAGACTGCTGATGATCTGAACCCCGCTCAGCCGAGCCTGATCTGCCAGATTCTTGCTCTGCGCGTTGGTGGCTTTCTTCAGGTAGGTTCCCGGAGCGTACGCTACTCTGCCCTGATAACTGGTGGACAGATTTGTGAGGCATCGTGGTGAAATCAGGCGCTTGTCAAAACAATGAGGTCAAAGAAACTGACATTTTTCTGTCCGTTTGACAATTTTTAGCAAATTTTTGTTTTTTGACTCAACACCTTTAAGCTCTATTTTAAAAACATATTTCTGTGTGAAATTTTACTGAGAACCATTGATTAAAGGCAAAACAAATGTACATGTTCAGTTTCCGCGGACTCTCAAGCTTTGGAAATCACCAGACTTTGCCGGCCATTTTCTCGCTTATTTTATTTCTGAAACCAGGTGGCCTCAACTTCTTTCAATCACAAATGTCTTAACTTCTATTTTCTTTCTCTCTCTCTTTCACACACACACACACACATGCACGCAGGTACACACACTGACACGCACGCACACACACACACACACCCCAGACAAACACTTTTAAGTAGACACACACACATCCACACCCACAAACACACACACTGACACGTAGCCCCTACCTGACAAGCCACCAGCCATCCATCGACTTCTCTACCACCTCCACCACGGCTCCTTTCTCCAGGCTGATTTCGTCTGCACCCGCCGCTGTGAAGTCCTCTATGCACAGATACTTCTCTTCTGCATACAAATAAACGAACAACACTGTCAGACCTGCTAGAATATTACAACAGATTCACTGAAATTGAAGTCTTAGTCCTCTATGCACAGATACTTCTTTTCTGCATACAAATAAACGAACAACACTGTCAGACCTGCTAGAGTATTATAACAGATTCACTGAAATTGAAGTCTTAGTCCTCTATGCACAGATACTTCTTTTCTGCATACAAATAAACGAACAACACTGTCAGACCTGCTAGAGTATTATAACAGATTCACTGAAATTGAAGTCTTAGTCCTCTATGCACAGATACTTCTTTTCTGCATACAAATAAACGAACAACACAGTCAGACCTGTTAGAGTATTATAACAGATTCACTGAAATTGAAGTCTTAGTCCTCTATGCACAGATACTTCTTTTCTGCATACAAATAAATGAACACCACTGTCAGACCTGCTAGAGTATTATAACAGATTCACTGAAATTGAAGTCTTAGAAAGTGTTTTATATCTCTATTACATTTTATCTCCATCTGTATCAATTCCGTTAACCGAATTGTCCTTTAACATTACCATAATAGCATATCTATATATAGAGCATATACTTCCTCTACGGCAGGCTCAATGTGCATTATGAATATTAAAACATTTTTTTTTTAGGTAAGTGTTTTACGGCGCTTGCAACTGCATACGGTCATATGAGCGCTCGGGACACATTAAACTTTTTCAGTTGGTAGGAAATTTTGAATTTTGCTTTGGTGGCGGCTGAAGCCTACTCTTATCGATTATAGACCACCAGGGGATCTTTAACATGCGCAATTTGCACAGGAGACCTCCGAGATTTTTCGCCCTTGTCCGAAAAGGTTAGGTGTAGATCTTTCCTACCAGAAGATCAGGGGTGTGGCTCAAAGACAGCAGTAAAAAGGAGCCAAGGAGTAGCAGTAGAAAGGTTGCAGAAAGAGTCAGGAGCCCAGAGGAGGGGGCAAAGGAGGTGAAGGGGTGGGGGCAGAAAGAGAAGACGGAAGCAGGCAATAGAACATTGCTAGAGAACAGGAAAGGAGGTGAAAGGAGACAATTTTGGAGAAGAAAATTTTTCCGTCGTTACCCGGGTTCAAACCCAGGACCGTTGCATTAGAGGCAAACACCTTAACCTCTAGGCACGAGAGCCCCTTACAACTATTTCCCCAGCACATCATCATCATCATCAATGCCTTTCACCCCTGGTAGGGTATAGGCCACATACAAGCTCCTTCCATCCTTCCATTTATCTCTGTCCTAGGCCATGCTTCCTAGCTCGTTCCAAGTGAGCTTCATCTCTCTCATGTCCCCAGCACATCCTGCACAAAACACGACTCAGAAACCCCCCCCCCCCACACTCACCCGAGCCAGGCTTCGCCCTCATCACTTCCTCAGACTTGTCCTCAGTGTCCGACTCTGGCTCCAGGTATGTGCTGGGTGCCCAGCCCTGCTCGTCCTCCGAGTTGACAAACCACCAACCTGGCGTCGAGAAGATAAGATAAGATAAGAATAGATAAAACAAGATACATCTTTATTGTCCAGATCCTGGCACATTGGTTTGGTGTTTCACCATGTGTACACACACACACACACACACACACACACACACATACACGTAGGCTTACAATCACATTCATATAATGAGTAGTAATATAAACAATAATAACCGTAAGCTAGATGCACACTCAATGTAATTTTGATGAATGCTCTACTAAGGTCTTAAGTGCAAGATGGTTAAGATGGAAGCATTTTGATAGATGATGGTAAAAATGACCTTCTATATCTTTCTTTGTTACAGATCAGAAGCCTACGTCTTTTAATTTTATTTCTGACTGATGTTTTAATTTGAGGGAACAAGGGATGTTTGTTGTCTAAAAAGATGGAATTTATCTTTTTTAGTGCAAGCTGTGATGTACAATTTATCCAAGTAGGGGAATGTAGATGGTGTCAAAGAGAAAGTGATACATGTAGTACTAGGAGCTGTCCACCTCTGGCATTGACCAGATGACAAGGACATGTGGTTACTTAGGAGGGCATAGCGCTGCCAAGAGTGAAATGCTCGCAGCTAAAGGGAATTGAAAACAACAAACAACAACAACAGCATGAGCTATCCCGCCAAGAACAAGTGATTATCTTCCGACTAAGAGCACAACACACACAATACTTTAAAAAAAAAGTTTTAGTAGAGGTTTTACGGCGCTCACAACTGCATAAGAAGAAGACAATAAGATCATATAAGTGCCGAAGATTAGAGGTGTTAAGAGAGTAACAAAACACACAAAAAGAAGGAGGAAAGATAAGGATAATAGATGTTTGATAGGAAAGAAGAAGCAAACCACACAGGAGCACCCGCCAACCACCCACATTAAAAGACTGAAACTCTCAACCGCTCGTACTGGGGGAGGGGGGGGGGCAACAACAACAACAACAACAACATAATTATAATAATAATAAAATGAACAAAAAACCCCCGCCCAAACTCACCACTGTTAAAGACTTAATTAAAAGACTGAAACTCTGAACCGCTCGCATTTGGGAGCAACAACAACAACAACAACAACAACAACATAATAATAATAATAATAATAATAATAATAATAATAATAATAATAATAATAATAATAATAAAAACGAACAAAAACAAAAAAACAAAAACGTCCAAAAAAACCCTCAGCACTGTCGGACTTCTCCAGCACCTGCACCGTCAACAACAACAACAACAACAACAACAACAACAACAACAACAACATAATAATAATAATAATAATCATAATCATAATCATCATAGTAATAAAACGACCAAAAAAAAACAACAAAAAAAAACAAACAACCAAAACCACTCACCACTGTCGGACTTCTCCAGAACCTCGACCGTCATGCCGGGCTGTAGCGCGATCTCCCCGGAGGCTTGCACGGTGTACTCCGCCACTGCCACATAGCGGGCCAGACGCTTGGGCTTCGAGATCTTCTCCGCCTTCTTCTCTTTGGAGCTCTTCGATTTGCTGAAGCCACGAAAACTTTGTCTGAGCTTTTTGGGGGAGCATTTGCGCCTAAGTACCTCCATTACATTGTGTTAGTTCTAGTCTTAGTTTTAGTAGAGGTTTATTTATATATTTAGTAGAGGTTTTACGGCGCTCGCAACTGCATACATTGTGTAAGAGGAATTAAGAAGGACTGAAGTGAAGGTAGTTGGAATGGGTCTCCCAAAGCAACAACGCTTTAATTAATTATGAAATATTCGCTATAAAACAAACAACCACTACATTTCTCAGTCCAAAAATATTGATAACATCAGAGAGGTTGTAACGTTTCACATACAGAATATATATTATATGTATAATCCAAAGTTAATTCATTCCCAGGTGAGTATAAGGACGTTTTTCATTTTGGTTCGTTCTGAACCTTTCCCCCCTTCTTTTCTGAAGATGATTTCCTTTGTCCACTGAAAGAGTGTGAGTAGTCACATACAGCAATCCTCACTGAATCATCTCTAGCTGCTACACGTGCTCGGTACATTCCATTACAGATCCCACAGTTCAAAGTTCAATGTTTATGGTGAAAAAGAAATAAAAACACCCCACTGATGTTGACACAAATTTAAAAAAACAACCAAATCAAGACCTGGATAAAGTATGGCTGAAGCGTTCACAAAGCGATCTAGGCACGGTTATATTAGATTCACATTCTGTTATTCCAAATCCAGTCAAAGCACACAAACACATGAATGAAAAATTACACACATCAGTATATAAGCAACAACATCATAAAAAACTACACAAAATGCATGTCAGTAGCAACCCATCCTTCTGTTTGCCAGGAAAAGCATAGATAATATTATAGATTTTGATGGTGGAAAAAACCCCAAAACAGGAATAGGCGTTTTAGTTTTTCGAAGGAAAATCCGCTGATCCTTGAAGACAGAAATTCACAAGTGGCAAAAGAATGAGAAACATGCGTCTGTTATCACTAAAACATACAAAATCATTCCATAAAAAAGAAAGAAAAAACTTTTAAAAAACCCTTCCACTCAAAATTTTTAAAAAAAAAGCAGAAATAACTGGGGAAATCCTTCACAAACATTCAACAAAGAGTTTGTAGGCGTGCCATTGACCTTCACAGCGATCGCAAAAAAAAAAAAGTGTCCATCAGTGCATGTGCCCTTCCATCACGAGACAATAAAATCTGCCTGCTCAAAATCTTAAAGTAACCAAAAAGTCATATCTATCCTGGAATCTTTGTTTGTTTTAGTAGAGGTTTTACGGCGCTCACAACTGCATCAGCTCATATGAGCGTCAAGGGGTGGATGTCAACAGAGAAGTCCTTACATATCCTGAAATCATCCAGTTCACCATGAACGCATGTGAAGAACCCCCCCAAAAAAAAAAAAAACTCACAAAAAAATCAACAACCACCTATTCATTTCATAAACCGTTGCTTTAGCGGCACATCGATCCACGAATACAGTGCGCGAAGGAGGGGTGGAGTAGAAGTTCTAACCTTCTTCGAAAAAAAATGTCTCCAAAAACCGCAAGAGGTGTAGAGGAGTTGAAAAACTAGTCACACTTGGGGGAGGAAAAAAACCCGCTACGAAGTCCTGACAACGGATTTGGCTATCACAGTCAGCTGCTAAGGGGGTATTCCTTTAGTGGGCTAACGAGCAGCCCAGCTGTTTGCTTAGGGCCACAATAACGGCTCCTTGGGGCGGTTCATCAAATCGTCACGCTATCGACTACCACGACCAGTGAGTGAGCCGGCTACCAAAAAGCAAAGTTCAGCCAGGTTACGCTGGGAAAAGAGACGTGTACGGACTGGAGAAAGCGATGTCAGCCACTTGACACGGCAGGGGCTGATGAACCCCTTGACACCACCAGGACATCCGAAAGTGTTGTATCCTCCTATCCCCCCACCCCCCCTCCCTTTCGCGGACACACACCCTGCTTTCTCAGTGGGTGGTTGGCGGGTGCTCTGGTGTGGTTTGCCTCTTCATTCCTATCAAACATCTATGGTCTTTATCTCCCTTTCTTCTTTCAAAAAATGTTTGTTACTCTCTTGTAACACCTCGAATCTTCTGGCGCTCGTATGACCTCATGCAGTTGCAAGCGCTGTAAAACCTCTACTGAGACTAAAACTGTTTTCTACCACGGCACACACCAAGACTTACGTCGCTGGACATGCCGTATTGTGTCTTACTACACCTACTTGTCGGTTTCCTCATCTGTACTGGGCTCATACTTCCCTCACCCTATCAAGCTAGATGTACCAACTGGCTACAACTAATGAATAAATAAATAAATGAATAAATAAATAAATAAACAAATAAATAAATAAATAAAAAGACACACATATATTAAGAAACAGATAAACAAACACAAATAAATACTGTAGAAACGCGCCCGCTGGTTTAAAAAAACTTACGAATCATTTTGCCCAATACATCTAGCATCAAGATTGTTTTTGCAACACCTTCTCAACGATCGACCACCTAGAGTCGGGAACAATTCGGACAATTTTAGGAATCCCGAGATACCCGGAAATTCGACACCCCTGTTGAGCAATGGAGTCAACCAAGATATTATCGGGTGCATTGCTGGAATTCCGTTAAAAGAATTAATTAAAAGACTGAAACACTAAACCGCTCGCATTGAGGGCAACAGGCTATCTCTTAACCCTATCCGTAGGTCGCGTTTTACTATCTTATCCATACGACGTGGGGAACTCTGTGCCATCACTTAACCCTATCCGTACGTCGTGTTTTACTAACAGCATTCTAAAATGTAGATCTAGACGCAGTCTTGTTTTGTTTTAGTAGAGGTATTACGGCGCTCGCAACTGCATAAGGTCATATGAGCGCCAAGGGGAGGATGTCAACAGAGAAGTCCTTACAGGGAATCAGACATTTTTGCTCCCCTCCCTCTAGAACTTCAATAGCACAAAGTCTGCTTCGACTATCAAGGCAACCCGGAAATAATGGGTCACAAGAGTGTAACAAACATACAAAAGAAGTAGAGGAAAAAATGACGATAGAAAGGATTTGGAAAGAAAAAGCAGCAGTTCCCTGTTTCGATTCAGGCACAGTTATGAGCATGACATTGATGAATCAGCCCATTTACAATTACAATTCTACTGTGCATAAGAACACGGTTAACGTCCCCCTTTGGGAATGGCCTAAAGACACTTCAGTCAGTAACACCGCTCCGGGGGGTTAGAACGTCACATAACGTAAGACCAACATAAAAGAAGGTCCTTAAACAGCACAAGTAACTATGACACCCCACATTTTGTCCGCATCAAAGGGCATCGTGAAACTCAACATAAAGAAATTCCCACTTTCAACGGCTACAAAACACATGCGTTTAAACCGAAAATGTAAATCACAACGCTACCTCATTTATTTCTTACACAACAAACAAAAAAATATCAAAATTTACTTGTCTTTAAATAAACAGCATTATATGATCTAGATGGAGTCTAGCAAACAGTTGTAATAGAAAATTGGACCCACAATAGCAACAATTCGAATTGCAGGTGAAAAAAAAATGGGGGGGGGGGAACTAAAGAGCATCGTGCGACTCTCTGCCTACAAAAAAAGATACGCGTCTCTCGGCTCATCTCCACCATTCTATCTGTTAGTTTTACTGAGTGCACAATGTGAAGACATAAGGTATACAAGGTATTGTGCCCCGTGCACACGACAAATGGCATTCATTTGATTCAGCCTAGGCCTGTGAGATCTACCTTCACGGAGGAGCGTAAACTACCACTTTGGCAGAATTTGACCCATAATTCGACTGTGACCTTCAACATCAAACGCGTTTGTTTTTCAAGGTCGTGAGTTGAGTCTGGTCGAATTGCGCCAAGAGAGCAACTTTTGCCCCCTCCAAGTTTAGCCCCGAAGTTTAGTTTTATTAGATATTTCACGGCGTTCGCATTTGCATAAGGTCATAAGAGCGCCAGAAGATTAGCGGTGTTACAAGAGGTTCCGGTTAACAAACACAAAATAGAAGGAGGGGAGATAAAGACGATAGATGTTTGATAGGAAAGAAGGAGCAAACCCCACCAGAGCACCCGCCAACCATCCACTCTCCGTGAACTGCAAAGCTGAAGACAACGTAGTGGTTATAGTAGGTCCTACGGCGCTCGCAACTGCATAAGGTCATATGAGCGCCAAGGGGTGGGTGTCAACAGAGAAGTCTTTACAGGGAATCAGACTTACTCTGCTCACCTCTCTAGCTTCAACAGCACAAGGTCTGCTTCGACTACCAAGGCACCCCGGAAATAGCAGGTCACACTAGAGTGACAAACATACAAAAGAAGTAGAGGAAAATGACAATAGTAAAGACCAGGAAAGAAAAAGCAGCAGTTCCCTGTTGTAGACGAGGCACAGTTATGAGCCTGACATGAATCAGCCCATTTACAATTCTACTGTGCTTGAACGAGAAATGTCCCCCCTTCGGGAATGGCCTAAAGCCACTACAGTCAGTGGCACCGCCCCGGGGGGTGACAACGTAGTGTGTATATATTATGATATTGTTTCTGTGAATCAATGTCCGCGCCAGAGTGAGCATGCAAGGCGCTCTCTCTCACCTGTGGGGCGCAGTGGACACCTGACCGGCCGGACAGGGCCGGGGTCGGGGGTCATCTGAGATCGGGGGTAAGCCCGAGGTGTCGTACAGGTTGCATCTGTGGAGGGACGAGGGGGCGGAGCTAGCTTCATGACGTCACCACTTCACACCGGGCCAGGCCGGGGTTACACAGCACCCAACACCAGCGAACACATTGCCATTTTGTGTAGTTTTAGTAAGAGTATTACGGCGCTTGCAACAGTATAAGGTCACATGAGCGCCAGAAGATTAGAGGTGACACAACAGAGTAACAAACATAAAAAAGAACAAGGGGAGATAAGGAAGATAGGTCATAGGAAAGAAAAAGCAGACCACACTAGAGCACCCGCCAACCACCCACCACCAACGAACACATTGCCATTTTGTTTAGTATTAGTAAG